TAAATGAGAAAAATTGCAGTTGTGAAAAAAATTTTGCGCGGAAAGTTTGAATTTTTCAAAAAATTTTGCATACTTTTGGATTGACATACATTTTCAATAGATCAAAATGATTAGAATTTTATAAAACTGATATAAACTGATTAATTGATTGAATAATCAACTTTGAGGAAAGTAATCGTACATTGTATTTAATTTATACAAATGTAAATGATCATTTATTTTATTCCTTTAATACCTTTCAATGATGAATTTTAGGCTTTTTATTTTTATCTTTTTAAAAATTACGGAAATGAAATAATTGTTTATTGATTAAAACTTTAGTAAAATTTGCATAAGTTTTTGTCGTGTTTTTTATAATTTCTTATGATAGTTTATTATTTGTAATGTAAAGTACATAAAGAAAGGAGAGAATCACGCACTTAAGAATATAGCTAAGTACAGTAATTAAAGCGACTATTTGAACTTTGTGAGTACAGTGTTTTTCTTAAAAATTATACGGCATTTGCTGAGTGGCGAAAAAAGCAGTTTTTATAAAGTTTAGCTAAGATTATAATTTACAATTTCTTGTTGGTTTTCTGCTAAAGTTTGAAATAATTGCTTTCAGCGCAACTGTTTAAATGTTATAATAAAATTTTTGACACATTTTGAGTTAAATATCTGTAAGTTTTTTGCATGAAATCAATTTTAATCTTTACTTTGCTCAAATGCTTAATAACACAATCACTGGTACGTAGCAACCTAATGTCACCAATTGTATAAAAATTAAGCGGTTAATAATGAGAATACTTGAAAAGTTATGTTTGAGTACTAATAAGTAAATTTATTAAATTATCAATTCTAACAAAGTGAAGTGAACAAATTAGCACATTTTAAGCGTAAGCAGCTACGGACTAGGCAGTGGTATCGGAGGTAGTGATAGTTGGTCAACCCGAGGTGTCGGTGGTATCAGTGGTGATTCTTATCAACAGGGCAGTGCAATTTTTGGCCCACAACGACAACAGGTTAATTTGCGTAGTTTTTGTGCAACAAGATTTTCCTGAATTGTCAATACTTACATTTTTAGAACCATTATCACTTCATATATCATTTGCTAGCATGATAATTACTACTTATTATATTTATAACTTTATTATACGCAATTTTTTTCAGTTGTTTTTTTCTTATACTCAGTAACACTTCTAATTTGATACATTTTTAGGAAAGATGCGACTCATATCCATCAGGTGGTGGACTTTTCGGTGGCTCCAGTTGCAGCTGTTCATCAGGATACGGTGGACTATTTGGCAACAAATGATTTACAGGTTTGTTTTATTTTTATTAGATACTGTAAAACGAAATGACATAAAATTGCAAAATTTAAAACACAAAATATAGCTGTAATAAGTTAAAGTATTAACTATTGCTAGTGTGTAATAAGATAGTTGAAATGAAATTTTAAATTCTTAGCAATTATTTTTGATTATTAATTATTGTTATTAAATTCAAACTTTACTGATTGTCATAAGCTTCAGAACAACACAATAATAATAACAATAAAAGTAATAATTGTCCCTGATAAAATATAACTATACCAACACAACAAATATTACAAACAAACAAACTTTTATAAGTATAAATAAATTAGTAAATAAGTAAACAAAGTAAGTGGATAGATAGATCTTAATTCATCTTTTTAGCATTATTATCAAAACTATTTAGTTTAATTTTGTTGTTATTTGTGCAGCACTTATGTGTGATATAATTTACAGTTCAAATAATAATGCAAGATATATGCAATTTATGCTTCTCTTCTTGAATTCATAAACTTGTCCAACCTGCAGATTTGATTTTATCAATAAAACTTTGTGAACAAAATCATTTTATGTTGCTCAAAAGCAGTAGCAGAACACGTTTTTGATGGCGTAACATAATAAACTGATGACCAGTTAAAATGCACAAACTGGTTTCTACTTTTCCAAGTTTTCATTGTTTAAGCGTTTCCGCCAAATTATTTAACTAATTTTGGACATTCCTTAGATGCCCACGTTTACAGATTGAAAATAAACTCAAACTTATACACATATGATTAGATAAACATAATAAATGTATGGATTTAAACTAAATAGTACAATATAAGATTAATTTTCTAGTCAAAAAATATCAATAAAAAAATAAAAATTTTGTTAATTAGATAAATGAAGCGAAGAAAACTGCCGATATTAGTAAATTAAATAGCATTCAATTTGTTAAAAAGTATTTGATTTATTTAATTTTTTTTTTTTGACAAATCTCAAACTGCAGAAGGACAGTAAACAAATAGAAAATTTGCTCTTTGGAAAATAAAAAATATTGGCAAATATTTTTATCATCAAGTACGAGAAAAAATCATTTTTAATATTTGTTTATGTAAATGAAATGCAAATTATTAACAGAACATTATTTGTGGTGGTGGCTTCAAGCGTTGTATCAGCGAAAGATCGTTTACCTTCATGTGAACTGATTCCAAAATTGCTTTGCTGTACTGATCGAGTTTTGGATAAATGCTTGATTGGTTGCCTAACATATGTGACAAGTAAATGCCCTCATAAAATGCAAAATTTTGAAAAAATTGCTCCATCATCTGATGAAAATTCACTGCAAGAGACAACAACGGATTTCAGTTGGATTGAAGAAGTTTGCGTTTGTGATTTGTTCATATTTTTGAAACATTTCATTATTCAAAAAGTTTAATTTTCAAAATTATATTGGAACTGAGGAAATAAAGCGCAGCGAGTAAAATTTATTTACATTTATTTAATTTAAAATTTATCTTATTAATTTTAAAAAATAAATCAGAAATGTTACGAGTAATTCGAGTTGATTTTCACTTGCAGAGTACAAAATTCACACTATTCACATTAATTGTTACTCATAGTTGTTGAAAAAAATGTAATCAAATTAAGTGTATTCTTAGTTTTAAAATTTTCTGCTTTAATTAAATTGCTAGTAAATAATAATACAATTCTAGTTTTACTTAAAATATTATACTAAATATAGCAGAAAATGAACAAAGACAAATTTTAAATTAGTCTTATTTCTGTTTACCGATTTTGTTAATTACATAAATAGTGATGATTGATATTCATTAATTTAGACTACTACTGCTCCAACAATACTTCCAACCACATTACCTGAGTTCACGACTAAAAGTCCTCGTCGACAACCTATCAGGAAACCAATGATGCTCATAAAACCGACTCCTTCATCTCAGAAACTATTTGAACTTTCGGACGATGGCAGAGTTGTTTCTCAACAATATAAGTTCGAAGGTTGATATTCTTTGTTTTTTATCTTTTTACTTTATAACTTGACAATTTTATTGTTAAGTTATAAAGTAAAAAGAGTACTAATTTGAGTACTAATTTACCATTCATTAATTATTATATGTGTAGATAAATTATAATGAAGTACTGTCAGATGTTCAGTACTTCTGGTAAAAAGACCAAAATTAATATATTTGTAACTATTTTGACATATTAAAATATTTGTTTAGTTATTAAGCTATATAAAATGTTTTTTTTTCTGGGATTGATTGTTTGTTTTTAAGATAATATAAAACAGACATTTACAAAAATATTCCAGCAATTTTTCGGATTTTGCTTCAGGCATTTAGATATTTAATTAGTCTAACTATTTGACTCTAAAATTTTATTTTAATTTGCAAAATTAATTGAAATCTTAAATGCGAATTCCTTTTTTGAGAAATTAAAGTTGCTTTCTAGAGTCAAGTCATAAAAATTACGGCGATTATATTCATCTGAATCAACGATATCCTATTACTGAGGTAACTGATTCGAATGCTTTATCCGACTGTGGTCAAGAATCTTCTCGACCCCCTTTCTCACCATGTTTATCAAGGAAACTGGTTGATGAACTTTTCTTGACGTGTTGCAAACAACACGTAAGCAGAATATTCTGTAAAGTTAACTTGAAGGCATTCAAATTTAAATATTATTGCTGAAAATTCCTTTCTATTCTCAAGCTTCTTAAATTTATTGTAGCAAGTTGCTAAAATACCTAAAATTTTTTGTTAAAAATGTATTTTGCAAAAATTTAGTCCATTCGTATCTTTTCTATTCCTTCTATTCCGTCAATTATAGGTTAAAAAAAGCGTGAAAACCGTTGTAAAACAACCTAATAATTCTTTGTGAACTAAATATTAAATTAGTCTAACTAACTGTTTGACTTGAAAATTTAATTCCAATTTGCAAAAATAAATTTTATCTATGGCAATTAATAAAGTAAGTAATCAGCATAAATTCAACTAAGTACTTTCTTTCAAATATTTTATTATATCATCAATGCGCATTCTTAATTATTCATAAATTACTGATTATTATACGTTGTATCAAAATAAGTTTTTTTTAATAGTATAAATTCGGTAATATGTTTTTTTTAATGAAATCTGACTGCAAATATGATAAATTTTATGCAAATTTAGGTTCCAACAAACTGTCACAGTCTATGTACATACGAACATCGAGAATATGTCGCTGCAGAAATGCTAATCCAAGCGATTCAGCACGACGTCTGTGATTTGAAATATCTCAGCAATATATTGTACTGCGCGAATAGAAATCGAGACAACCGCCATTGCTGCCAATTTCTCGGGCTTGCATCGTATGAACTTGGCGTTGGTGACAGGTTAGATTATATGCAAATTTTTTAAAATCTTAAATTGCTTGAAAATCTTACCAGTTATTCAAGTATTTATAAAAATATCTTATTCTATCAGTGCTTAATATTATTACAGAAAGCAGCAATGTATATTTGATTTATCTTAAATGGTAATTTTAAAATTAGCATAATTTCAGATGTCTGCGCATGTGTAATATAGCTCAGTCAGGAGATCGAATAGGAACTGTCGAGAAAAATGATTTGGTATGTCTCAGCAATTGGAATGTTCTCATGTACTGTGCACGTGCTGGCCTTCGTACTATTAATTAAATAATTATTATGTATTTTAATACAAACACTTTTTATACTTTTTCAAAAATTCATTCCTGGTATGTTAATATTTTCTTTGAAAACAACAATTTTATCTGAACAAACAGATAAGCTTACTTTTTCAATGCAGAAAGAACTTTTATATTAATTGCTCTCAAATTTGAATAATTTTTCAATGAAGTAAGTTTTTTGAACTGCATCAAGTTAGAGTACTCTGATGGGAGCAGTGGCAAAGATATAAACAGAAGTTGCCTTCTGAAAACTTCTGAAAAATATTTTCATCGCAGGACAAAAATTTTTTTGAAATGATTATTCACTCTATTGCATGTGACAATTTGTTATATAAATTTTTGTCATATTTGATGTAAACTGAAGATTTACTTTTCTATTAATTAATCGAAAATTTTTTGATAATCGAAAAGTAAAAAAATAACAAACAAACTTCAATTTTATTTTATACAAATATAAATATAATACGAATAGAAAAGTAAGTCATTCTTCAATATTTACATATTTATGAAAAAACAATAATATGTATAAATATATTTGCATTTATTTAACTGCCAAATATTTGCATTTATTTAACTGCCAAATATTTGCATTTACATAAGAGCTCTCTTTGCAAACTTTTTACATTTTTGTTTGGCTTCCAACTGTTATTTCAAATCGTTATTTTATTCTAAATATCACTAATTTTTCATTCACCAGTGATATTGTTGATAATAATTTTTATCACATTGCTTTGATTTCTTACTGTATTTTCGAGCTAATCTCATGATATTATTATGATTTTCACTTAATTTACCACAAGATTTTTCAGGATTTTATTAAAATTTACTTTATCAATTGATTAATCAATTCATACAACTAATACTTTTTTATTTTGTTTTCTACAAACTTAGTTTCTATATGATTAATTCTACCCAGCTCTAACAATATTTTCTCCATTTTTTCAATCACCAAAGAGCGTTCTACTTATAGCTAGCTTCATGAAAGAATTCTGCAATCTAACCTGTATACTGCACTTAATCTTTTCTTTCTTATCATCTCTTATCAGTATCAGAAATTACCGTACACAAAGATTATAGCAACTATAATCAACACAAATAGCTATTTAATATTTGGTTATTGTTTTGTTGTATTTTGTTCAATTGTTTTTTATTTACATGCTACTAAACAAGCATCTTTACTGACTTGATGCACTGAAGCCACCAATTTATTTTAATTATTTATTTGTGTATGTTGTAAATTATTTACTGCCTAAATTTGAAATTTGCATAACTCATTTTAACGCAATTGAAAATTTAGGCTAAAAATTGCTTTGTTGAATAATTTTCAACAAATTTTACATTTTTGAATTTAATCAGAAAGTTTAGAAAAAGTATTTTCTCAAATTTCATTTCACCCATTTTGTGATTATGAAAATTTTTACTGATTTTTACTTTCTTTCTTTCACTACAATTATACTCTATTGTATATAACACAGTAATATTCAAATATCGGTGATTTCTATTTCTATGAAGTCAAATATTTAAACCAATAAATCTTCGTTGCATTACAAAAAGTTCAAATATTTACAGTTCCTTAAAATCTGCAAATTTTAACTGTTCCTTTGAACAGATATAAAAGACTGCAAAAGTTTAAGATTTAAGATTTGTTATGCAATAAAATAATGCAAGATTTCTAAACTATAAATGAAATAAAGAGGAAAATAAAAAATTTACTTAAAAATATCGCAAAAAATTTCCTGATTATAGTCAACAATTAGAGATAATTTGAATATAAAATAAGTAGGAAAAGAAAAAAAGCACAAATTTATAACCAAAGTCAATATTATTTGATCTTTACAGTTTTAAATTAGTTATTTTTTAGAAAAATTAATTGTTTTAATTTTAAACATTTTTGATTTAAAAATAAAGTAATGATCGTTGAATTTTTGCAACATTTGTAAAGAGCTAAGATAATTATTGGCAATAACGAAAGTAAGCAAAAATTTAGCAGATTATTTTCATAATTTTAAACTGAAAATCGAATAGCTATCGAAATTTTGGAAGCTATTAAAACTTTTAATAATTTCAAATAAAAATAGTTTTATTTGCAAAGTTGATAAATCATGCAAGATTAGCGATACCATATTACAAGTTTTATGTTTGATTCAACAAGTTTGATGCTTGAAAAGTAAAAAGTATTTAAAACTGAAAAAAGAATGAGAGAGGTCTTAAAACGAACACTAGCCACCTGTAATAAAAAAGTTGATAATCAGTGAGTGATAAAATTTTATCAGTATATAACTTCACATATTAGATGAGGAGGCGACGTGGGTCACAACTTTGTCTGATGCTAGTCTTCGTTTTCGGGGTCATTTATGAAGAAGTTCATTATGCTAATTTATACTATCTGTATAAAAATTTCTATCGAATGACAGTTTTGCATACTATCACTATTCAAAGGCATATGAAGGGTTCGTTTATTTATTAATAATCATATAGCTTTTTATTAATATTACTACTTAATTCTGTAATTCCTTTATTGCTTTTGTGTTTATTCGAGCTTTCGTGAGAGAAATTTCAGAAGGAAAGAGCTTCTAAAATTCTGTTAATTTACACCAAATTAAATCGATCAGTTGAACGATTGAATCGTGGATTACAGTCGAATTTTTTTCGCGATTCTTCTAGCTTCATTCTTCTCAGGTACACCTCATCGTATTTGAGGTTCCAACGCGTACGCTCAATTTCGATTTTAACTACGCGCGTAACATATCACGTCAAATACTGGCACATATAACGTTAAATAACGATTTGACATATCATGTCAAATAACGATCTTATATCAATGAGGAATACTTACATCGAAATATTGCGTTAATTATTTGCATCTTTTGGGTTTCGTTTGCAAATATATAATTTAAGCGACTAACAAAGTATGCTTTTTAAGGTTCAGTTCAGTTACTTGTTCAAACTCGTAATTTAATTATAGGTTGAAAGCGTCGTTATCAACTGTGTTGTCATCAATCTACTGACAAAAGGTGCTAATTAATATCATATATACTGTCCATATTTATGGGCTGAAATTAACACATTTGCAACTTTTTAATTAAATGCAACTTATAATTCATTGAACGTTACGTAAAATTAATATTCACTCTTTACGTTCGAAATACGTTTCATCTTGAAAAGAAACTGAATTGAAACTGTTCAAGTCTTGAAACTACTAGTTGCTAAGAGGAAGCGTATTGTACTACTCTTCAATGTAAATTCAGTTCATTAGCAAAACGTACTACCTTCACCTGCAAATTTCTTACACTTATGAAAACTACTGACCGTGCATAAATGGATTGATTAGTTGTATGACATTGAGCTTACTTGTTTTTATTCCAGTTGATCCTTAGTCGCTTCCGTGATATTCATGACTGTTAGTTGAAGTGAAGATAAGCATAACTGAGTATAAACAGAACCGGAAATAAGTAAGCTAAAAATGAGCCTAATTCACTGTATTTCATGTCTAGTCTCGAAATATTCTATTTAAAAAAATCGTTACTGATTATTGCAACTAAGTGCGTACATTGAAATTCTATTATATTGCCTATGCTGAAGTAATTGGATGTGGTATTCTTTCGACCACCTTTCAAATCATATCCGAAGAACTAAATTGGTTGAAGTTTAGAATCCATCATTCAAATCTTTCTGAAGTCACTTTCGGTATTTTATTTGGCAAGCCCAGTTTAGTAGACATGCGACTTCAAACTTCACTTAATGGCCAAAAAATTGCTACATTTGAAACCTGAAAACCAAGAAAAACGAAACCTATTCGTGAATTGAAGATAAATTAACTGACGATAGATCGAAATGAAGATGAGCCTGATTCTCTTGATTCATGAACTTAATACAAACTTAATTGAAGATAAGCGAACTGGCGATGAGCCAAATTGTAAATAAGCTTAATCCATACCACATGTGAAAGATAAATATAGCTTGCTTTTTAAGTGGCGTGGAATTTACATGGTTTGTCTGTATGTTTGTCGATGCAGCCGCATTACTACCTCTTAATGATTGTTTGAGCAGTCAGATATTGTTGCATAACTACTAATATAATAGTATATGTCTCGATAACAAAAGTTGGTGGAAGTGCTTAGCATGCAACTACTATACACTTTATGCAAATTATAAAAACCTATATAATAAGATTAAAGTATTACAGGTGTATGGATTAATCATAGCTCATGTTGAATTTATTTCAGAGAAAAGTATAGCAATAATTACGGTTCTTCTTAATCGTAATAATTATGAAGAATATCGTTTAGCTCAGGAAAGTTTCGAATGCTATGCATTGTATCATAATTATGAGTGGATTGTTATTAATTTCTCTGCGAACAAGACATTACAAAAGTTGTGCCCACAGAAGGATGCAAGTTAATTATGTTCTTTTATAATCAGAACAGAGCTTTATAGTCTTTATAATCTTCAGAATTATTTTTCTGTTTTGAAGTTTGATTATGAAAATACACTGATCTTCATGATCCATTTTTTGAATATACTTATAATGAACAGTTTCACTTAGCAGAGTTTTAAACGTCACCTACTGCAATGAGTACTTGAGTGGAACCAAAAAAACGTGCAGATTTATGATGGCAGTTAAGTTTTGCATAGTGTAGTTTAGAATTTAGTGTAATGGGGATGTTCTATTCGTTGTTTAAAAATTCCACTTAATCGTAATAATAACTGGTGATATGAAAAAACAAGAGTATCGCATAAAATAGCACTACTGATAGCAGAGTTGATATTATCACTAATGGTCACATTTATAATGGTAGTTGGTTACGATATGCTAGTCATTGGTAGGTCCTTCATATTTGAAGTTTTGAATCTTTTGTTTTGAATTATTCAAAATTGTTTTACCCTGTCGTTTATTATTTGATTTATGTGTCATTTGTTCATTTCTGAGATTCTGAACTTATCACTGTTTTAACTAAAAAGTCATATCATTGACTTGTATTTCGTAGTTATAGCTTTCATCTCAGTATTTATCACATTTTAACAAAGATCAAATATGTGATGATATGATTTATGTGTCAAATAATGTGGTATAAATTCAGTACTAGGTGCTATTTAAAAAAACGTGCAATTAACTAAAGAAATATATTCAGTTCTTCTTTGCTCGACACTGTGTTACCGCCAAAATAATGGAGGAGCACAACGAAACCGAATGGTTTTTGTTCATCGATGCTGACATGGCGGTAATCAATCCCAGTCATTTGATTGAAGAATGGATCGATACCAATGTTAATCTGATCTTTTACAATCGGATTTTCAATCAAGAAATTATGGCTGGAAGCTACATCATAAGGTTAAATTATATTGTAATTATAACGTAAACTTTAACTTCAAAGAAAGTTGAGCCCTTCATTATTTGGGATATTCATAGTTTCAGCGCTATATTTTATCTCATTTTTGACTGTTCATTGCATAGTTTGTGTTTAATATATTTTAATTGAATAGTTCTCACTTAAAAAAGTTTTATGTACAAATCATTTTGAATTCCACAATTTAGAAAAGTCACTGTTTTTAATTTTTCAAACTTTCATATAATACCATGATTTCCAGATATGCAGACTTTGTTCGACTTTATAGTGTTAATGGATATCTTTATGCCAATTTAGTCACTTATTTTCAACTACTTTATCAATGTTTTACAGAAATACTCCATACTCTAGGGAGTTTCTCCGATTCTGGGCTAATTATGAGGATAAACTACCTTTTCATATTTTTGGTTCTGACAACGGTGCACTTCATGTAAACTTTATTTCTTTCTTCACATTTAGCTTTGTGTGCTTCTTTAGATAATTTTTATCCAATTATGAGTTAGTCTCGCATTATCTACTGGTAAGTTTCTGAAAATTAGTGATACCAGTTGCGTTAATCAGTGTGTCTTATTGCTGAAGTTTCACGCTTCTAAACATGATATATTTGTTTACAAGGAATGTAATGTAAAGTTGCTTTCAAATTTAATTCAATTTTTCATCACGTGTCTTAGTTAAGTGAATTCTGTTAGAGTTATGTGTGGCAGTTTTTTTAAAATTATTGCAGAATGCCTTGCTCGAGTTCATAATACCATCGAAATTCAGAGAAAGACGTTTTTGCGAAAGAATTTGGCAGAACGCGAGGTCTGTATTATTTTCTTTAATTTTACTTTTACTGCATTAGATTGAATTGTTGACAAATTTTCACTTTAATTTGTGATTTTGACTTACGTTTTTGGCGAAAAATAATATGAAAAAATATCTTGTGAATTTATCTTGTCATTTCTTTGCTTGAATTTATATATCTGCAAAAATATATTTAATATCATTTTAGTCCTATGTATTTCACATTAAACTCATTCAGCATAAATACCGTTTTTAACTTTAAAATTCAAGTGAAATTTATTTCACTTATGTTCAATATTCTACTTTTATGCTTAAGAAGCTTCGATGGCTTAAGTATTTATGTTTCTTGTATCCGAAGAATCATCGGTGAAGCTCCAATATGGCCTGGACAGGTGCGAATTCTTCCCAAAGGTAAAGCTTGGGCTCGAGATACGTGGCTTACAGATTCCATGTGGAGTAAGCGAGACTTTGTCCTTCATGGATGGCAAAGAAGGTTGGTTTATAATGTATCATTAATTCAGGATATATTAACTTTTATATTACTTTTATATTATTATTAACAAAAATTTATTCCATAACATTCTGTCGGTTTATTTGCGTATTATAGTTAATGTTACTTATCAAAACTCACAGATTATTTCTCCAGTGAAAATTTCTCATTTAATTTGCTTCAATCTTATAGTCGGAATTCAATTTTTTATCATTATTTATACTCTTAATTTTAATCTTTTCTCCCTTTGGATTCATGAAAAGGAAGTAGTTTTGGATTAATCTCTGGTTTATTTTTGTTGTTTGAAGTTGATATTATATCAAAAATATTGTAAATTATGTCATTTATTTCAAACAATTTCGACAAATTTTTTGACTTTTTTCTTATTACAAAATTACTGTAATGCAATTGTAACACTTAATCTTATGCAAACTTACAGATTTGCTCATTGTATCTGCCATTTTAGGAAAATTAATGGCGTAATGTTTGGTGGTTGGCCGTCTCCCATTTCATTGCATAACTTCAACCTTTCGTTATGTAAAGACTTCAAAACTGCCTTTACAAATTGGCATTATAAAGATAGTTTTATCAGAAATGATATAGAGATCGACAATTGGCTTAATAAAAAGATAATGGATTCAAAGTATGCATTCAAAAAGGAATTACATTTAGTTGATAGTTATTGGCAACACTCAAGACTGATCGGTGAATTAAGTTGATTGAGAGATTTTTTGTGCTTGTTTTTAAATATGATTTGATTCCCTCAGATTGATTGTATTTGTCATTTTATTGACTTAATTAATCAGATATCTTACTGAACGCTTCTTTCTTAGTTTTTGTGTTTTATGGCGAGATCAATCATTTCGGTTATTCCATTTTAGTGCTCAATTTTGTCCCTTTGTAACATATGTACACTTTCTGTATTCTTATATAGCGGGAAACAAAATTTGTGATATTGTATTTAGGTTTATTTACTTTGTTAAATATTTGCACAGAATGTTTTGTCTAATATTAAATCTTATACTGATTTCTGTAGATTGAACTTATGCTTTGAAAAATACATATCTGTATCATTGTAATACATGCCTTAATACAAATAGCTTTTGTCAGTTTATGCATCAATTTGTATAAATTTATGAAGCCTTCAGTTTCCTTGGGTATTTTATATTTTTTAGATATGTTTCGTTTTATGTACTATATTTTATTTGAATTTTTAAGGGCTTAGGCTTGTGCACGGGAATCTGAAAGATGGTGAATCATCCTGAACATTAATAATGAAACCAAGAAGACTAGTCAAAAGATCGACTGACTGATAGTCGATTGGTTTGATCTGGTACAAGGAGAAAAATAAATTAAAACTATGTAGTAAGTGTTTCCTTCTGAAAATTCTTTCAGGTAGCTTCGGTAATCAAAAAGCAGTTCACAAATTGTGGATTTGAACAATGGATTGACTCTTTTATTTCATTTTCTCTAATATTAAGTCACTGTCCTTTTACTCACTTCGGCATGTGATATAAATATTCTTGGCAGACATTCCTATGTGACTATGTCGTATGCGTCAAATGAGTTTCATTGCTAAAAACGTTTGATATTCTGACACTTAATATTTAATATTCTTGTTATTTTTCTACATTATCAATAATAAAATTTTGTCTCTAAAAATAGTAACTATTAAAGTAGCGGAATATTAAAGTTGTTTGCATTAATATTCAGTACTCAGATCGTATGGGTTAAGCAATTATATTGGAGTCTATACAATTCTATTGAATAATTAGTTATCTGAACTTCATTTTAAGTTTTAGTAATAATACCACTAATATGACCTACGTCGGATGTGCTTAATGATTATGTAGTTCCATTCAATTTACGCTCCAGAAATAGAATGTTTTGACATCCTTACTTTACTAATTTAAAAATCGGCTTCTTTTATCTGCAGTAATGTCTTTTTTTGCATATACCTCTAAAAGTTCAAAGGTCACCGATGGAAAGCCAAGTATATATATAGTATGTAGGACTAGGCAGTATACACTTTTATTCAAATAATAGCAAATGCAAAAATTAAAGTTTTGATTCATAGAAATGGTGGAATGCATGAAAAATACGTCAGGAAAGCCAAGATTGCAAAAAAATGCCATCTTAGAATCAGAGTGGTCATTTGTGATCAGATTTTACATGTTTTGTATTCAAATTTACGACGACTGAAAATTGGACATTGAGTGATATAAAAAGTGAATCAATGCCATCTACACAAAAATTCAACGCTAACTGGTCGCAGTGGCAGTGAGTGTAAATGATGCGATTTGCATAGCTGATTATCATTGATTCACGAGCATTTTAAGAAAGCAAGAGAAAACAGTAATAAGCAAGGCAGTGAGTTACGTGGCAGTATTAAGTTACTAGAAAAATAGTTGGGTAAAAATAAATGCAAATTTATGGTAGTGAGAAGATTAAATATGAGTTATTGTAAATTAGTATTTACAAAGATTAAGAATTGGAGGAGTGGATATAGTGAATTAGTTTATTATGCAAGATCATATCCAAAATTCTGAATATTATTCAAAATAAGTGATACTGTAACTGTAATGACTAAATGCAATTGATTTCTCAGAGATCAAATTTTCATCTTCTGTTAAAGATATTCTTTTTAATGAATAATAAAGTATTGTGGGCTAAGTATTGCATGTGATAACGTTAAACAATGTATGATAAGTAAGAGTAGTAATACTTTAGTATACTTTCTTAGTTCAGTTAATTACTGCAGAAGTTGTGATTTAGTCTATGCTTGCATGCAATCAAACTAAGCCTTTCTTTTGCTAAAAGTTGAACACACATTAATTGCAAATTTGTAGTGTGAATGGCAAGTATGCTAATTTGCAGAAGCTTACACATCTGCTAATTAATTGAGATAAATTTTTCGCGCTCTTTTCAGCAGTTAAGATTTTTTATAAGTATTTAGATATTTTGCATTATTATAGTCGAGAATGCTGATAGAAGTGCCATTTCTCAGTAGGTTCATCGTCTTCAAAAATTTGTAGTTTTGATAAATACCGCTGTCTTCCTTCGTCTTGTTTATAATCTTGTCTTTGTTCTTCACGTTCATTTTTGTCTTCTTGATCTTCACTTTGTTCTTCTTTGTATTCATGCTTACGCGCATGTTCATATCGTTCGTATTCACGTCTGTTAAGGTACTCTTGGTCATGTTTTCGATGCTTTTGGCGCTGGTCACGATGGAAGTGATGATCGTTGTGTTTATCATTATGTATTCTGAAATATTTATCACATAACATTTAATTACTATTTTTACGTCAAATTCCTGAAAAGCATAATATTTACTTGATATTTTTTATGTGATAAATTTGATCATAATTTTAATGTTAGTATTTGACAATAATGTTAAAATAGTATTGCTCTTCAATATGATATGTTGCATTTGGAAATGCTACTAGTCATGAAATTATTTGAAAAATTCAATTAATAATTTTTAGGATTAGTTTTTAGTGTGGTTTGATTTTTCGAATATTTCAATCACAGTTCTAAATTTTCATCACTAAATTACTTCTGAAGCATGCTTTTTTTTAAATTCATTATGGACAACCTAATTCAAAAAGGGAACTATTTCAAATGTCAAATGTCAGATATGTTCGATCAAATGATCAAATAACTGCTTCCTTGGAATAATTGTTTGTATAAGTTCTGACACTTATAAAAATATTCTGTGAATGATTATTCAGAATCAAGAAAACTAGAAAATCAACATTTGTTCTTCTTCCTTCGGAGTGTGATAGAATGCATTGAGGGATGCTTTTCCCACTTCCGCGTCATTTGTATCTGTCGTGACAAGAATGTACACGTATTGCTGATAGTGGAATGGGTCATCGATGTATGAGATCTGTAAATTCTATACTAATATATCTTATTCAATAAGGTAAAATACAAAAAATTTGTTGTTATTTTTGCAGGACAGCAGATGGTTGTACTCAAATAACTGCTAATTATTGGTTAATAAAAAGTAAAAGGTCGAGAAAAATTTTGTTCTGGTTAGTTCATTAAATGATTGCATAAGTAATCAAAGATTTGTGATAGAAAATACAATAAAATCTATCGAAATGATTAAGACTAAAAGAAAAATTAATTAAATTGAAGTAATAAAATTATGAGATGAATGTAATTTATGGCTGGCTGAAAAATGATTAAAACTATCACTGATAAGCATTCCATATTGATGAGGTACTAATTATCACTAATTGCCATGTAACAACTTTTCAAGGTTTAATTTTAATCATTTGAAGTGATAATATTTATCCCATAATTTAGTATTTAAGAACTAGACTGAAGTTAGGTTCAAAAGTTAGCATAAATTTTTGTTTAAATTATATTTGACATTCAGTGATAGTTTTGTGAATACTGCAAACATAATAAGCAAATAATTTTTCTTAAGCTAATATAATGGCTTTTGCACTTCATTATTTATTTCCTTTCATTACTTATTTTTTGCAATTTTTAGATTATTTTACTGCTTGAATTAGTTTAATTGGTATCAGATTTGAAGCAATATATTAAAAATCTCAATTGAATAGCCAATTTGAGCAGTAAATGAAACACAAGCATTACTGATCAGCAATAAAACTGATTACCAAAAGTAAATTTTACTTGCAGAAATTAGAGTAGCTGCCTTTTTTTGCTTAATTTATGTGAAATATTCAAAGCTTTACTCAAATAATATGCAAATAATTAAACTTAATAACTTTATTATAACTATGGTCGTGTTCGATGCCTTCGGCAACAGCTTCCTTCATATTAGCACTTCCATATGAGGCTTCTTTTTTCTGCCAATTTAGAATTTTCGCTACTTGTTTATTACGATACTCGACTGCTAGATGGATATTTGCTAATCCAGCTTCGATGAATTTGAATCTATGAAATGAAAGGACAACTGATTCAAAAATTTGCTAGCCAAATAAAGATAAAGTTGAGTAATTTAAATTTTTATTCCTTCATTTAATTCAAAATGAATAATCTGTGCACTGCTCAACAATAACTTTTTGCAGTGAAAATCTTTCCTAATAATTAAACTGACTTTTGTAATTAATAGTTCAAATACAAGCTTTCAATAGCAAACAATAGAATATAAAAGATGCTTACCTTCGTAGTTAGAAAATTATTAGTAAAGCGTTAATAATTGAAGTCAGTAATAGCTAAAAATATTTGGGAAAATACTAACTTAAACGGATTAAGGAAACAAGCACAAGACTGAAATAACTTAAAAATTACAAAGAATTACCTTAAAGTTCCGTCTTTATTACTTTGGGAAAGTACACGAAAGCCACCACAAATTACAGTTGCCTTATGATTTCTATTCACGAAACGACCACAAATTTTATTTTGCACCAAGTATGCATGGCCAAAAGTTTCATAATGACCAAATTCATCATAAGTTATCCTCAATTTGTACTATTGTATTATTGTTATTATTATTAGTTATTATAGTTCTAATTTATTTATTTTAATTTATCAAATTTAAGTTTTATAGTAATGATTCTCTGAATGCTAGTGTAATTATTAGTATTGCAATCATTGTTGTTTAGTTATAAACTGCATCGTATTATTTTCAATTATGTGGCTTTGTATGATTAATATTATTGTAATATATTTAAAAAATATCGGAAGAAGCTGATATTTATAAAACTCAGCTTCAATAAAAATTGTCTTTAATATTTATATCATTAAAATTAGAGCAATAAATGAAAATAAATATGATGGTGCAGAGAGATGGTCATTTATACTCCAAGACTTATAGCAAATTAATTATGTACAAAAATGGTTTTAGCTTATGCTTTGTATGATTTATGAATAATTATGAATTAATGTCAAAAAAAGTACTATTCTCTATGCATTCCTATTGATTTTCAATTTAAAATATTTAAATTTAAAAGTACCAAAATGCAACATATGCGTTTGTTATAGGTATATTATGATGCTTGACATCAAATGTCAAAAAATCGTTTACGCTTCGATCTCCAAGCAAAGAACCGTCGCTGCTAACTGTTGTCCAGTATTCCTCACCCAACTAAAACTTTTATCAAGCAAAGTTTTATTTTTTATCATCAAAATCGATGATGTGATGATAAAATTGTCACGAAAACAGTCTAATTTTGACATTCAACACTTACCCATACAGCAATGCTGCTTGTAGCAAATGCCAGAAAGATAATCAGTTGATAGGACATAGAGCGGTTGATTTGATTACTTATGGCCTGAAAGACTGATATGCAGATAGTAATTTTGTAACTCAAATTAATATCCAGCTGAGTATATCAATGCATATATAGTTCTGAATTTATATAAATTTGCTGTAAATCCAAATAAGTATAAATTCAAATAAGTAAGTACAAATGGATTTTATATATATATATATATATATATAATGACTTTTGAAATTGTTGAATATTATTATTTTTGCATAAGCTATGCTTATAATTTTAGCTGAAAGAAACTATGTGAATAATTGTGAAGCAAAAATATCTAATTATAAAATAAGTGCACCAAAAATTTCAAGAAAAAAGCATTCATGTAAAAATTTACTCATGTGCAAAAAGTTGAATTGAGGTGAGTTCTTTAACAATCATATTTACAGTTGAAATATAAAAACAGTGCTAAATACAAATAAAAATTATTGAGTGCATGAAATCAGAGGTTTTTTATGAGAAAAAGAACTGTATGAAAAACAATAAAATTATTGGTAAACAGTGATTCTCATAAAAGCGAAAATAAGAATAATTTTTTATTCAACATAGGTAAAAAACACAAAGTATAAGTAAATAAGACAGATAAGTAATTTTCCACATAATTTAAAAACAATAACATTTTTGGTAATATAAACCTTATTTCTGGTTCAGTTCATACAGCAAAAAAATGTAATACAAGCGGCTACTGTATCTGTATAGTACTGTATCCAATACTATCATTTTTTTACATGCAAATATTCATTTAAGTTTAATAAATAATAGTTAGTGATGGCGAAAAATAGCTTGTTTTCAAAGTATTGTGAAGTGAAAACATTATGAGCAATTAAATTTAAATATTTAATTCATAATTCACTCTTGATTTGATACGATTTTACTGTATTTTACTGATTTACTTAATGAATGAAATAATGACTACAATTCCTTTTATATATTATTGAGTCTTAGAGTTCTACTTCTAAGGATTTAAATTTGAACATAAAATTGTTCTGTAATTTTACCAGTTAATAAAAATAATTATTTACAAACAAAGAATGAATAAATATCACTTATGAAAGGAATTAAAAGAAGTCGCACTAGCATGATAGACATCTGAATAACTATTAATTTATTTCAATAAATTCAATGCAAGTACTGAATTTAATTCTTCAGAAAATAGAATCAGCTATGCTTCAGAAGAAAGGGTTTCTTTGCTTAGTAACTTAGTTTTTTATATTATATTCCTGCAAGTGTAAATATTAATAAATAATTGCAATAAATTTAAATGTATAATTCACATTTATTCTTCAATTTATGCATCATTCATTTATCATTTCTTTGCTGAAAATATTTCAGACGAAAGAAATTTAAAAAAAAACAAATTTTTCAAATTTTTCTTAGATTTTCGTGAAAAATTTTTGGCTATAAAAGCTTAATCTTAGAATGGTTTTTCTCTTTCTGAATCTATTAAATATCAGAAAATGCAAATTATGTTAGTTTGCAATGCTTTCTTCTAGAAAAATACGTTACAATTGCTTTTATTACAGAGACAGTCTTTGTAAAAATTCAAAAGAGATAATTTGGCTTCTGAAAATAATTATCAAATCACAATTTTATTAGATAAATAAATATTACGCTTTGCAAAGCAGGTCATTTTTAATAATTTTAAACAGATGTTTGCTCAAAGGATATCTTAGTTACTGGAAAATTTGTTGTCATTTAAAAAAAAAATTACAGTATTGCAAAAATAGTTTTTTTAACAATAAAATTTCTAAAATATTTACTATTATTCGTAAAATTTGCAAAAATTGTTACCTTATACTAATGTATAGCTTTAGAAAGCAATGATTTTAGGCATTTGATTAAAACAGTAAGTCCTAATAATGATTTGATTTTTAGAAGTTAGTTCGTAATTTTCATTTATTTTAGCATACGACGAGAGTTCATTGTTGCAGAATTGTGTTCATTAATTTATTAATAAGTATTTTGAATTCTGTTCAATAAAAATTTATTAATAGGCATTTTAAAGTTTCACTGAAGAAGATTTGATCACGTAAAAAAAATTACCCAATTCTTAATGTTCAATTTTTTTGCATAAAAATTTGTAATAACACTGGATTCTTCATTGTATTCTGTGTGATAAGATTAAGTTAAAAAATAGAATCGAAAATTAAACTTGAAGAATTCTAAGCTTAATTACTTTGTTTTTCTTCAAATGTCATGAACATTTGATAAAGATATTTTAACAATTAAAACAATGATTTTTGTTCGTTTTATTTATTACAGTTTCTATTATTTCAATACATTGTTTACCTTGTTTTTTTAGAACTGAAAGTCAAATATTTTTTACTTTTCACTTTGACTGCTCTCAGATTTTGTCTTCAGAATATTTTTTACAATTTACATGACTAAATAAATACTGCATCAATTAGCTATCAATATAATACTTTGAATACTTTCTAAAATGACTCAATCGCGGAATTTATAATTTATCGAAGAATGTTTTCTCATATCCAATGTATTCAATCACTCAAGAAATTACACTGATTGCTTCTAAAACAGAAATGAAAAATTTTATCCACGTGTTCGTTTACGTAATCAGTTATTTTCTTACTATGCACGGGATTTGAACTGTTTCACGGTCAACAGTGACCTTTAATGCGAATAATTTTGCAAATATTTGTCTAAACTTTGCATATCGCCATAAAAACCGTTTAAAGTTAAATAATTTAAAGCAGTTTGCACCATTCAAATTCAAAAGTTTGGATTAAAAAACTTAAAAATAATAATAATAAATGGGAAAAATCGACTGCTTAGCATTTGTGATCAAAAACACTGTTTGCTGTCAGTTGGAATTTTCAACAAAAGAATAGTGTCTAATAAATTTGTTAACTTTTAGTAATGATAGCGATTTTAGTTTTAGTTTACGCTGTAAAGATTATTAATACGTGCAGAAGTATTTTATTACTGATAGTTTGTATTTAAAAATAGCACCGACTCAATTATAGTAGTTACGGATAAATTATTCTGTGAACTTTGTTCAGCAAATCATTGGAATGAGAAGAATACTGATTATTTGTGGTATTTTTTCAATTTGAATTTAAATAGATAAGAAAAATTGATCAAATTATTAATTGAGTCTTTCAGTTATCAAATATTATTATTTAATCTTCAGGACAATTAGAGAAAAGTGAAAAACAATTGAGCATGAAAACTTCTTAATTGAATTTTCCATTTCAATTTTCAACCAAAAATCTATTTCGGGTTAAAATACGCACTTAAATTTTGACCTGTATGACTTTAATTAAATTCAGCTCTTGAACTAAATTTGAACGATGAGCAAAGACTTGAAGAATATTATCTGTCCCTTCAAAAATCATAAATATTCAAGTACCGTTTACTTTTAAATATACGTAAAAGCGTACATATATCTTTGTATCAAAAATAGCATAACTTCTAGTTTAATCACAGTTTGTAAATCACTCCATCTATATTCAAATATTTTTGTGCAAATACTAAACTTCAGAGATTGATTAATTAATGCAACAAGTATCAACGTACTGCCAAGCCATGTGAAAACATGTTTAAATCCAGAAATATACATAGACGGACACGGATGCTAGTCTTTAGAATATGTAATTAGCCAATTAGAATAACAGTGAGAGTGTGTCAATGAAATTTTAAAGTTCGTATAAAAGTCTTATAGAATCTTAGGGAATCAATCTCAGCAAGGCACTATAAGTTTCAATTGAATAAGCATTGATTCTAATGAAGCAATTTTCATTAGCATACATACATACAGTATATTTTTACTTACAATACATATCATCAAAAAAGAAAACTGTTATCAATACTTGTCTTCTAATATAAACTTTAACTGGAGTTTAGAAAAAGTTTCTGAAATTTTTGCCAAAAATTACCATTCAATAATAATTCAAAGTATCTACTAGCATTCAGAAAAATTTTTGATTGTGACCTTCGAAAATTGACTTTTCAAAGATCAGAGTTGAAGTATGTTTTCAATTCTGAAAATTATCGAATACGGAATGGAAAGGATGAGACCATCTGCATCAGATGGGTGTAACTGAAGGCAATGGATATGCACACTGTAAGACTGTAACTAGCAAACACGCAAAGAACAATTTAAGGTAACAACGTAAAAAACTTTTTAGCTTATTCAAGGAGCAAATTTGTAGACAGTCTGCAAAAATAATGCAAAAAAAGACTCAATTTGTAAAGAGAGTCTAAAAGAAGGAAATGTATTCACACGCCTCCGATCTCACAAGTTATCTTGAATACATGCAAATCAAATCGAAAACAATTTATCTCTATCCCATACTTGTTTTTCATTTTGTTTTCAATCTTCGTATTGCTCGAATATCAAATTTGATCTAGATCTTGATTAATTCTGAGTCTCAATTTTGGTACTGAGTTAAATGTTTGATCTTGTCCATAGTTGTGTTTTCCGTAGTAGATCATTTCGTTGCAATACAACAACTTACAAATCTTGAATTGCTTTTAACAAGACATTTTTATTTCCCATATCTACACAAATGATCTCTGAAGCAAATAGATGCGCTTTTACATCAGGCATCACATCACACTTTAAACTTATCGAGAGTTTGAATCACACCCCAACTGAATGTAACATAAAAATAGCTGCATGTCAAATATGTAAATGTAACAGTTCCAGACACGTAAATGTGTAAACAAATACGGTATTAAAATTGTCAAAATAAAAAGATGCCAGAAGTATAAAAAGCACTATTTTATGTTCATATTTATTAATATTATATACTATGTTTGAAAGAGTATGAAAATTCCTAATCTGATATTTATTAAAATTTTTAATTTCGTAAATAAATTTTAATCATGTAATTAGTATGCAAACAATAAAAACTTATCGTATTTGTAGCATTAAAAAAGCGTATTACATTTAATTTATGCAAAAAATAAACGTGTGTCTATTGCAAATATAACTAAGAATAAAAATTTAAAAATACTATTGGAATTCTAATAATTTAAGCAAAAAGTAATCGAAAACATTGCAAGTTTTCTTCTCTACAAATTTTTTGATAAGCTGTGAAAATGTTTAAATTTTTGTAATATTAGTCACTGTATGCATAATTTACTTTTGTGAATTTGACCCCATAATTTTCGAATCAAACATCGAATCATTCAAAATTGAAATTTTGTATAGTATCAAAACAATAACACACATCTCAAAAGCTTACTTAAGCAATAGCCAAATCTCGAGACTGAGTCTGTGGATATGTTCTGATGCAATGAATCGAAAACAAATGTACAGTACAGTTTGGTTAATTTAATTTAGTTTCATCCTTTCACAAAATGTTTATCTTTATTTTTATGAAAACTGCATTTCTTACTATTTCCACTTTATATTTTTAATAATTTTGATTTAAGACATTTTTTTCTGTGAACTTACTGTTAATCATTTCTGTGCTTGATATTATTTTGTACTAGCATATTATCTTCAGTTCAAAGTGTTACTTCAACTTCTTTTCTTATCAAATTGCAGGTTATAACACATATGAACTGAAAAATATCAAAAATATGCATACTATTGAATCAAATATTTAATGACATTTGCAGCAAAAATTTAAAAGAAAAATATTAAAAATTGAGTATAGGCGATGACTGTGGAGCTCTTATCACCTCTTATCAGTTGCATAGAGTTCCTTAACAAAGCTAAAGTAGTTTGTTTCACTTGTACATTGTAAAATAATTTTTTGTATTTGTTTTTCGTAACTGTTTGCTATTTTTTGGTTTTATCTCATCGAAGTCAGCACTAGAAATCATTCACTTATACAGAATTTTTCATAGTATCATAATTTTCTGCAAAAAAAATTCCACTACCATCATTAATGAAAGGAAAAATGTTCAAAAAATTACAAGCAACTGATAATAATAACAGTTTTATTGCCATATGAGAGAAGCAAATAAAGCTAGCAACAATCAAATTGATAAATATAGCTTTTATAAACATGTTAATTTCCAGAGATTCATAACGAACTGGATTTATTATCAGTATTGAGGTTTACCAAAAATAATAGCAAGCAGTGAATATTTGCTAACTATTAGACAGAATAATGATTTTAATAGTAATTATAATAAAGAAATATTCAATAATAATACAAATGATAGCAATAATATAAATAGATAATTCTATACAATATTGCTTATATGCAAAATTATTTAAAGTAGATATATTTGTGCAGTTGATTCCCTTTTAGCACAGTACGTTTTTTAGTTTTATTTTTAATTCCAATTTATATGTAAATTTGCCACCATTTATAAAAGGAAAAGTGTTCAAGAAATTACAAGCAACTGAGAATAATAACAGTTTTATAATTGTACACATTAAAAGTTTTCTGACACTTTTACAAATATAATTTTTAAACTGATGTCAAAAACACTATGTTAAATTCATATGCTGAGAAAGTAATTAAGCATTTTTGAAACCGTACCGTATTATTTTTACGCAACGAATAAACAATAAAGACTATCCATAATTACTAACTAATCGTAAGTTTAATAATTCACTTTGATTTAAAAAAACAGTAATAATAGCTAATAAGAAGAATGGCAAAAATGCAGTAGTCATTCCCCATTATTTAATCAAATTAACTTTTGGTAATAATTAATTTGATCATTTTTTGATCAAATCAGAGTTAATTCTGCTCATCTATTTATTAACAGAATTATTATAGAAAATTATGCAAAATTCATTAAGTTACTGTATAAAATCAGTAATTTAGTGAATTTTCGGTCTCAAAGTTTTGATCATTTTTGATTGATTTTGCATTTAGTTGCTGAGCTAATTGAAAAATCTCACAGCTTTATATAAGCAAAATCTGAAGGAATCAGTACTATTATCGACTGAAAAGAGGAAAAACTTGGAGAAAGTGAACATTCGGAAATTCCATAGTTAATCATGTGAATGGCTAACACTGCAAACATTCACTGATTGTAAATTTTGATTTTTTTTTGATGATTGTCAATGCATTACTGATTAGACAACTGATTATGACACTTTTAAAGCTTAAAATTATATCATAAATTGGATGGTAGAAACTACTAAAATGACCCGTCTAAGTTTTATGGCCACAAAATGGCGAAAAAATACAACTTTACAAGCAATAAATTACAAAAATAAAAAACAAACAAAGATACCTCAAGATAGTGATTACAAATACAGTAATTACATACAAAAGAATAAAATATGAGTAAATAAATTATCTTCATTAATCATCATATGTGATTATAAAGATCTTTACTGGATGAAAATTTATTAAATGCGACTTATTTTTGTTTTTTAGTTCATATACTACACTAAATTGTTGTGACTCATCAAGCTATTAAATATTTATTTCTAATTTCAAATAATATTATCAAACACAAAAATAAAGACCCAATTAACAATTTTGAAGCAATTCAAATTCATAATTGCTGATGTATTTACGTTTACGTGAAATCGTTGAATTACTTATTTTTTTGAAAAATTTGCAGATGGATAAATTTAACAAAGTTTTCAGTTAATATTACACTGAATTGTTCAAAATTTAATAATAATATTCATATGCAAAATTTAATAATATTCAACGTCAAATGAAATCAAATTAATATGTAATTACTTTGATTAGCAATGTGGAAAAATATTTTAGTTTTTATCAAAAATTGAAATTATAAAAATTTTCAACTTGAAATTAAAGTTGTTTGTGCATAAAGGAATCACTATTATTCATTTATGATTGAAAAAAGCTTGAAAATTCACTAAAAATTATTGGAATCATAAAAACACTCAGTGTTAAGCCTAAAAAATGTTGCAAACATTGAATAGCAATGGAAAACAAATTTGATTGAGCGAACTAATACATTTTTTTGTGCATATTTTTGCATAATATTTTTATATCGCTTTGCTGTGATATCTGAATGAATTTAACAACACTGTACTCATTTCACTCTTTTTTATAGAATCCATTAAAATGACCAAAATATAACTTTTCATCTTCTTTTCCTACAAATCTCGAAAATATATTTCTTCGTTTGAGAATAACGAATACTAACAGCTATTAAATATTACCTATCGATATGTAATGAACTGAAATGAAAAAAAATCAAAACTACGCTCACTAATATATACTCATTATAGTGATTTGTAAAAGCAAAAAATAATCATTATCCTAATGTTCTTTATTATTATTTCTTTAATTATAAAAAACGGATGTAGTATTAATTAATTATGTAATGATTATTTGCGAACAACTGATTAAGTAGGAATGATAAAATGAATGAATTGATAACGGTAATAAGAGATGAAGAATGATTCAAAAATAACAGAATCAGATACTAGTTTACAAGAAAAAATTTATTTTTTGTGAACTAGTACTTGATTCAATTATTGGATTCACCAACTTTTAATCTTCTATTTTCTTTATTTGATAATTTACTCAAAAACAATGGACTGAATTTCGGTTCTTTCGGAATGCAAACGTGTTCTCACACTGTCTCTTCACAGTACTAATAACAATAATTGACGAATAAAAAATAACTAAGAGAAAACAATACAACAAATATGAGTTAGTTTGTTAAAAACTATTTCTAATACTTTAAGCTTCTTAATTTATTAATAAAAACACATCACAAGAGTTTAGATTTCTAAGCACTCCAACTAGCTCACTTCTATATTTTAAAATAACATTAGATCAATTTGTAATAACTTTGACTCGTTCAATGCTCAAAGTTGTAAGCAGTTACTATTATCATCAAAATTTGCCTTGAAGAATTACTTCATTCTCAAGTAAATCGATCTGATTCATTTCCGATCTACATCTGCCGCACTGAACGATACACTTTCTGTACATGAAGAAGTTTCAGTATGCAGTGATTCAAACTGCTTTTGATCTAATATTAACAAAAGACGCTATGCAATTACTTTGCCCAAAGTGAAGGAATACATTGAATATTGTTTGTGTCTAACATGTTGCGAAGGGAGGTCAGGTCTATTACTTTTGTCATTTGATTTTGGTTTGATCCACAGTTAGAGAGAAATTTCTTGTATATAATAGTTACTTCACGTATAATCGTTTCTTGCACATTTAGGTTGATCTAAATAACATCGAGGTAACAGGTTAGTGCCTCCCTCTCCAGAGAGAAGAGTTACTCAGTGATGCACTCAACTAAAACTCGGATTTATTTGAAACGAACTCTGACTTATTTTAGCTTTTCGTCGTAATTTTATATCTTTGCAGGAAATATTTTTGTCCAAAAAATTCTTCATATATCATTCATTCATGAAAGCATTTCTGTTTTGTTTCTTTGTGATTCTATTGCCATTCAGTTTCTAAAACAAACAATCGAATGAGCCACACTTTCGGATTAATATATTTAACTTTCAGAATCAAATTTCCCATTTTAAGTTTATTATTGAATTATTGATTTATCCTTCTCGTAATTAAAAGCGTAGTCCCTCGTATTTCTTCATAGAAAGAAATGTTTGATAGAATTCAGCAGATTAAGACTAATAATCAACTCTGCTTCAGAAATGGTGGGCATGTGGTCTCACATCATGGAGTTACGACGTACGTTGTTTCCGCGATTAACAAGTCGAACATTGTTGGCTCACTATGTTCCAATGGCTGGGGCTCTGAGTCATTCACTTTATTCTATGCATATTCTGTCGCCAAATTTAATTTCAAGGTTTTTCGTTCCTTCTTCGTATCACTGTAAAAAATGCTATTGTCAAAAGTTCTTTGCATATTAGTCATTGACGACGCATTATTTTTTTTAAATTTATAATTGTTATTAATTTGAGTCATGAGAGGAATAATTCAGAATGTTTGACAAATATGTGCAAGTATACCAAAAAAATTTTTATTTTCATCTCCATAAATGTCTCTCATATATTTATGAAATATTTCCATGAAATTGACCTATGCTTGTTCGCCAATTTTTTTAGTGCAACACTATTTTCGATATTATATTTTAATAAAGCAAAAATTTACTGCAAAAGCTGCATGCAATAATTAAATTATGTCTGTAATTAAGTTTGCTAGATTAAGCAACATTACTTTGAGCTGCATGTATTTATTCTTGGTTTCAGATATTTTGGAGTACATGATTTGGCTGCGGAATTTTCAGTTCTCTGTACAGCGACGCTTGGACCTGGTTTTGCGATTTATTTTCGGCCACATATGAGTCGTTTAAATCGTTGGAAACGTGTTGAATACAGCGTATTTGCAGCTGTAATTTTCACATATGGATCTCTTTTTGCAGTTATTTTTGTAAAGGATATGCTACCCACCACGTTAGTATTGTTCTCGTCACATTTGTAATTCTTGTGGATAAGGGAATTTGAAATCTGATTTATGTGGACGATTGATTTTCAATTCCGTACAGTGACGCTCAAGAAATAAGGAATGCATAAATCCTCCAAACAACTAGTGTTCACTATCTCAACTGTCATGCCTAGTTTATTTTGATACTCCTCCTTGTTAACATTCAGTGCTGATCTGGTGTTAATTTTTTTCAAATTGTCGTTCATTATTCTTTGTCTTAAAGTTTCATTGTTCTGAAGAATTATGTAATATTTACAAGGTTTTAATTGAGAACATAAGCTTATTTTTTAGTTTTTGAATGGATGTCCTGTTTAATTAGGCTTATATGTAATTATTTATGATTCTGATATTTTCTTGATTACATGCAATACAGTTTTGTTTAAATTTATATTTATTTCAGGCTTAAGATATGGATAAAATCACTAATTGGACTCACTTTGAGTTCTATTCTGCTATCACGTGGCTACAACTATTTGATATTTCTTGATTCTCGAATACCAGTTCAACACAAAAAAAGCTACAATGTATTATCAAAAGGATCTATGAATTCATCAAGCGATGGACTTGAAAAATGAGTCTTTAATGACGTTCTGTACTGTTTTTACTGTTATGTTGGCAGATCATAGATGTTCTTTTGGTCAGTACGATCATCATTGTTCTTCCGGTCAATACGATGTATTTTATTTTTCAAATGTCAACTTTCCACAGTAGAGAAGAAAAAATTTTCAGGTACGAAATTTAAGTTTTTCAGACATATTTGTAATTGTTAATTGAATGGTGTACGCTGCTGTAAGAAATGCTTTACATTGAATAATTAGTATAAGAATTGTTTAATTTTTTAATTGTAGTATTATTCTTAAGTTGTTTCAGCAACACATTTCACCTTGCTATATCTCATGAAGTTTTTGTAAAATTTTTGATACTTGCTGAGAAATATGGTGATTAGCAAATACCCTTGTCTGAAAAATTAAATAATACTACGATAATCAATACTATTTTGTCTTTAATTAATTTGTTGCGAGTTTTATCTAAACATGTTAATTTCATTTTGTCCATTTCATAATGTTTAAAGTTTTTTTTTAAAGGTTTGTAATTCATGGAGTGTATTTCATATAATATAAGTAAATCATCTGCTTCAAAGCTTCTTTAATTGCAATGAAAAATACTGTGGCTTGTATTTAAATCTCAGTAAAGAAGATTATCAGGAAGATGTGCTACACAAGCGGAGTAAATTTTCGTGGCAGGCAGAATAGAAGTGAGTAGCAATTTGAAATCTTTTTGAATTGACTTTTTATGTGATTAATTCAAAACTGATGTCACAGCAATCTTACTGAAGGAAATTTTTATTTTGCTTCAATTGTCTGATTATTACTGGAAGTGAGGAAGGTTAAAAGCATACACAACAGTTTCAAAAATAAAAAAGTTCACTCCAGTATAATACAAAATTTACTGCTAAATGTACGAGAAAGTGTATACATATGGTTTTTGAAAATGTGTACTCATATATATATTTCTAGAAGAGTCCATTTCTTCGCAAAGTGCTTAATGGTATGATTCTGAGAGAGAGTGAAGCTGAAAAATATCACTTCACGGAATTCTAGTACTGCTTTTATTAAATTATAGCTTGCCATTATGGATAATATCTAAGGAAAAGCAGTAGAATTATTGCGTACCAGTGTGCTAAATTGTGCAATTATCCAACCACACTTAGCATCAGGGCTTCCTCTTGGAAGTAGAAATTCTGGTTTAGGCCAGTCCTTAGCATTAGAAATTTGATATTCTAATTGCCACAAGCCATATGCACAGTTTTGTTCAAAGCAGTTACGAAGCGTTTCGTCATTAACACTAAGGATATCTTGACGCATCTGAAATTTTATCCTTCAAATATCCCATCTCATAAAGGTTCCTTCTTCTTCTAACACTTTCTGTAGTATTTACTAATTATTGCTTCAGTGCTCAAGAATAAGTTTTTAGCAATTTTGTTTTTGCATATATTGTTTAACTTTAACTTACCTGGATCAGTGCATCACTACCACAGTTATATCGGACAACATTTAGCAAACTTTGCGTATTTGTTTGTCCTTGTCGACGTATAAAATACATAAGAGCAATACGAAGTATATCGCATTCAGATCGTACAGGCAAATTCTCACGTTTCAGTAGCGCTTCTACAGCTGCTTGATCCAACTGAGAAAATCTCGAGTCTAAAACAGCCTGAAATTGCTTCAATGTCACCCAAATATTTTTAATTTTTTGTTTATAGTCAAATTTATTTTTAAATTGTATTAAATCTTCGTTAATAATGTTACAAAAATAAACGTTATGCTGTATTTACTTTTAACTTTATTATTATTATCATTATGTTAATAAATATTATAAATTCTTACTTCTTCTAAAGATTCTGTAACATAGCTCAACACGTAGTCTCGAGTGCGAATTGACAAATCAGAATCTCTATGGCAACTAATATTCCAACAATCCAACAAACAATTTGGATTGGCTGCTTTTTGAATAATGAGTTTTTCAAGAATTATTCTTGCCGATGTTACCTGAATATTTTGAATATTATTTGATTTGATAAAATTGTAATGTTTGCAAATATATAGCATTTAGTCTTTTTTTAGCAAATTATATTGAAAACTAAAAATTTCTATGGCATTTGATTTTTTAGTGTTGAAAAACAACTTATAGTATATTCTCATAACTGGTTATCTTTTTTAATCATATTGCTAAAAGCAGACTGCTTAATGACCTCAAGTTTTTTACATAGAGCCAAAAGCTCTGGTACTTCTGCCAACGAACATAACAAGATTCCGTTGTAGAAGAAATTGATGATACGACGGATAGCAGAAGCTTCAAAGTCTTCAAATTCCTCGAGGTATAGCACAGCGTTTTGATCATGAACTTGTGTTTTCATAGAATGACATTTTCGCAGGTAGCCCGAATGTGCTAAACCTACTTCGGAATGAAATAGTAGTGGAGTTTGATCGCTGAGCTGTAATTAATCATCTTAAACATTATTATCCCGTCCCAATATTTTAATATTCGAAATCCTTAGCATATTAATCACGACTAAACTACAAGGTTAGAAATTTTGGACTATGAATTATATTAGCGAGCTGACTGTGAACAAATTAGCATTTAAATTCTTATCTCGCTTGGATTGCTACTTTTAAGATGAAATCCTGCCAAGACTGCAAATTAATGAGTGACTTGAGGTGTATAGCTGCAATCTATTAATCAAAAAAGTACCATAATACACATATCAGGTTCTGGTTTGCCATTTGAGGTTTGCACTTCATCCAAATAAAGCGAAAGCTTAAAGCAGAAAGAAATTATGGTAGATTGATTTTGTAAAAGAGGTGCTTTAAGTAAAAATACCTCCTCAAAAATTTTCAAATTGGATACAAATGTTATTTGCAGAAGAAAAAAGTTTTTTCCATTCTGAAATATTTTATTGCTGTTATTATCTAAGTAATCAAAATCATATCTGACTAACCTTGGCTTGATGAGCAAGTGACTGAACTTTATTTGGATTCCATGCCAACTGATAATTGTCTTGCGAAAACATCACACTTACAAACTTTTATATCAATTCTGCAAGTTTTGATCAATTCTGAAAAAACAAAAAGTTTTGTTGTCACTTTCTGAATGCAGTAATCTCACTTATTTGGAATCCATAATAATCAAATAATATTTGGAATTCATAATATTTGGAATTCATAATAATTATTAAAATTTCTGTAATCCGAAAAAACACACACTTGAAGCAGATGAAATGAAAAATGAAATTGTCTTCTTATTCATTTAAAATAAAATCTTAGAATAAACTTCTCATTGTCTTTTTATACAAATTAAAACGCAAAATGTTACTAAAATCTTTCCAAAATCACTCTCTCACGCTGCTAAAGACTTTCTTTTCAAACTTTCAGAGCATTACGTTTCGAAAAGCTGCAACCCATACATTTCAGAATCTCTCTTGATGCCAAAATAACCAACCAAGTGCGCCACAACAAATCAAATAGACTGACTATTTTGTACCGTGACCAACGAACAAAAACAAATTCAGAACCAAATTTTTGCATAATTTTTTTTGCTAATTAGACAAGAAATCAATGAAATCAATTTGATCTTGCAAATCTATGACCTACCATTAACAAGTATGTTGCAATGTCTGATTAAAGAGAAGTTTACTAGCTCTTTTCCAGCTACCTCGTAATAGAATTTATGAATTATGGAGATGTAATGATGTCCAAGAACCAACAATGATGATAGTTAGCTACGAAGCAAACTATGATTTTATGTCAAAATTTTCATTTTTCAGATTTACAGAATTGAAATACTTACAAACAAATTGTTTCATTTATTTATTTTTTATTATTAAAAAAATTTATCGAAAAAACTCTTCTCACTTATGCTTGCATTTTTATTTTATTTCACATTTAGAAGAATAAATATTTATAAAGTATGATGACAACTTGTAAATTATCACTGCGCTGGACTTTAAATTTTAAATCTGAGTGGATGAGACAGCATCTTAAACCAAAACCATTCACATCAAAGCATTTAACAATTAATAATTTTCATGAATGCAATCATTCATTATTCATATTTCCATTTGGCTTAGACTTTCATCTACATCGAGAATGCTTGGATTTGGTGGCACTTGCGGTTGTCGTCTCTGCAATTCAAATTATGTATTTTGAACAAATAGTGTTTTTAAAATACCTCTAATGTTTTGAAAATTAAACTTCGATATTTTATCAGTGTTTTACATTCAAATACTGGAAAGCATTTTGTAAATAATGCAAAAAAAGGTAATAAATAATAAAATAGTTTGTATACTAGGATTGTTTGCAGAGCAGTGATGAAGAAACGAACCTATTGTTTTAGTTTCACTTCTAGTTTCTTCAGCCTTCTTCTTGACCGCTTTGATTCTCGAAAATCCCATGAACAGTTCACAGAGAAGGATTGAAAAAAGTATTACTACAGTAATGCTCACACTTAACATTACCATCGGATATCTTAATCACATTCATTATTATGAATAATATGCATTAATTTGACAGAAATTGAATTTATAAAACACACAACTTTGTAAAATTAATAAAATGAAATAATTGAATTGAAATTTTAATAAGCAAAAAAATACTTCATCTTTCATGTACTGTAATATATTACGTTCTAAGTTACCAAATGTGAGACTGATGTATTAAGTGAATGCAAAATACCAAGCCAATATTATTAAATAATGGAACAGGTTAGAACTTTGAAAATCTGAGTGAATGCTTGAATTATTCCGATTATTAGAATTATAATATGAATTACAAGCTAGTATTAAGCAAGATACAGTAACAAAAACAATATATTTGCTATGAATGCAAATACACTTCAAACTTACTCTCTGCACTGGAAGAATACCATATGTTCTAAACGCTTGAATACAGCAGTCTTAATTACTTCCATATCATGCTCTGGCACCATTTCACATCCTATATCATTACCGAATATCATACATTTGCCTAAGCAATCACTTCGTGCATACAAATACCGCTCTTGCAAAAAAGACCCTTTACGCAGCAATTGTGGAATTATTCCTTCTGTTTCCTGTACTTTAATCCGTATGTCGTGCAATAAATCATCCTGACCACCACAAAATGCGCCTGGTTCTTCTTTCTATATAAGCTAATTAATTGTACAGTATCATTTATCGTGCATAATAATGACAAATAACTATCGGTATCTTCAACTATAATTTACGCATTTATCCTTGTAAATGTATTACAGTAATTGAACAAACTAAATGTCATAGTCATTAAATCTATTCTTTAATAAGTGAAAGAGTTTTGAAAAAGTTAAAATTCACTTCAAAAATTGATATTTGCAGAGGATCGTAAAATAAAGGATTAAGTATTGCTTTTTCCTGACGTCGATTACGAAGACGCTTGCTAAGAATGACTGCAATATTGCGGAAATGAACATGTGAAATATTGTGACATCCTTGTGTCGCACACTGCAATAATTGGATTCAGAACGAAAATAATTGAGTACTGTGGTAGAATTAAATAATTGAGTACTGTGGTAGATAATTGAGTACTGTGGTAAAAATAATTGAGTACTGTGGTAGATTCAGATGGAGAAGTTTTACTCACTCTAGAGAGTTTACAAGCTTTCATCGTCGTACACACTGTGTGATTTCTTCCATACCGCATACAATCTTTCTAAAGAATATGCATCAAGGCATTTCGATTGTTCTACACTTTCATTCAGTGAAAAGGTTCTTTTGTTTTCAAGCAAATACAACAACGTACTATTACTGAATATTCCCACATTACAAAATTTATCTTTGCTAACACAGTCTTTACAATCACAAAAACTGACCGAAGCTAGGTAACTCGCAGCTATTATTCGAGAAAAGCTAATGATAAGAGGGATTACAAGCCAAATAAATCGGCAAAGAACCATTCTAAGAAAACTATTAGCGCAATTGTTTCCACAATTTGAGCAGTGAATAGGACTGTAATACTTGATTATAGCTCCATCAAAGGCTTTTATTTTTTTCCACGTTGAAAATTTGAATTTTATGCAAATATCACTATAAGTTTTTAGCAGTCTGCAGGCTTTTGATGGCAGATTGATTCTACAATACAAAAATTGTATAATGAGAGATTATACAGTAAAAAACTACATAACAGCTTACAGTAGTCCAGTGAATCATTTACTGGATCATTTATTGCTTAAATGTAATTGCCTGGTATTAGTGTAATATAACATATTAGTGGTTGCTAAAACCATCAATACAGAAAGTCTTGAAGAATAAGTTGTAGAGAAAGGAATTCTTATTGTGCAAACAAGACTGTGATGATTTATTTTACTTGCAATAAAAGTTTTGGTATTTATTCCCCATCTCGAATCAAATAACATGTCATCAAGTGAAATAACAAAATGTAATTCTGATCCAAACTCATACAATTGTGTCAGGTTCATCTCACACTCGAAATGCGTACTGCATTCCAAAAATTCATAAAATATTATCATTTTTTTAAAGCATATTTTTAAGATATTGTGTCATGACAAGTTTCCCGAAACAGCAAGTCAAGAGATAGTTCAAAATTTTTTAAAGATTTCACGAAATAGTAATTGTACATCACGTGTAACTTTCATAATGATCCACACGTGATAAAATATAAGTTTCTAGGTTATCTATATGCATCCATGTCAGCGAAAACCCATCATATGTCAACTCATTCAGACAGAACCACTCTTACAAATTACAAGAAGAACTCTAATTTTCCTTTAATTTCAAAAACGCATCAATCTCTAATCCTTTCACTGCTCATGCTCTATCTCTGTTTTCTCAATCTTAGTTTTCCTCTTGCGATGTGAAACAAAATCCATTCATTTTTCATATTTTTTCTTGCCTTTTCTGTGTTACTAACTAGTTCCTTTTACTCTCATCTTTCTCTCCAAAACTCATACTATTTTCAATGCTAAGCAGCGAAGTTAACGATACTATATATCTTCAATTACACGCACCTTTGTATCATCCTCATGTTTTCTTGTACCGTAGAAAGTCGAGAAAAAGTAGAATATATGCCAGAAATACGTGTCAGTATTTTCTGCTTCTACTCTACTCTCTTCTGTTTATTTTCATTTTCAGATTATGAAGGGAGAAAGCGAAGATAGTATGAATGAAGTGAATAACAAAAGCAATGTCACATCTGAAGTTAGTTGTTTGGTTTTTCAAATTATTTTGTAATTATACGTTTTTTTCCTTCTGTCAACAGAACTAACTTCTTACATGCATTGTATTTGGAGAATACAAGAAGCTATTTGAGATTCTGAGAAATGGACTGTTGTTAATCAAGTCTCTTTGCTAACAATTTTGTTCAGTATGGTTTATACTTTTACCAAAGCATGAAATTAAGTTAGTTTAATTTTTCGTTAAAATTAGTTCTGATCTGTACCACAAGTTATCTAGTTGCATGTTGTATTCAATAAATACCAATGTATTGTGTGACATATTGTTTAATATCTGCTTAATTGGGTATTTTATCAATTAAATTTACTATAAAAATTGGTAGCCCTATAAATATAAAGCTACCAACTTTATAGATAGATTTATTATAGATAGATGTGATTCTTTGCCGAAAACCCAGTAATACAGAACTTTATCGCGTGCAATATCCTATACGTAAAGTTAACCCCTTTGGTTCAAATTTAATCAAAGCGCGTTACAAAAAAAATGTCAAAATAGTATGTTTTCTGCTTTGTCATTTTTTCATGTCTATTGCTTGCTACCACTGAATGCATTTTTCGAAATTATTTTCTAGTTAGAAACTCGGCTACCTGTTGACAAATCCTCAACTTCCTTCGACAGCAGACGCGCAGAACATCTTGCAACAATTGTTGGAGCAGATGTTGGAACATCTACAGCTGGAAATTTGTATGAGAAATAAGCTTTTATGAATTTGGAAATACTGTTGTTGCCTACTCCTTTAGTTTTTTTAAAGTTTATTCAGTCCATGAAAATGAAACCTTACGTATGAATCAACTTCAGCTTGTAAAAGCATGTAGGGAAAAAATTTTTTAAAAATGGGGTAGATATGAATCGATTTTATAATCCAACGGGTGAAACTCTTTCGAAATGCTGTTGCAAATGAAACAAACTCTGAATTCAATCGATCTTTATTATGCAAACTGGAAGAAAAAAAAACAATGAAATTATCTGTAATGTTTTGCCAATATTTTTAATCATAAAAATTGTTATAAACTATAATTATTAAAGTATTGAGTTTATGATCATTATGATTGAGCCTAATTATTATTGGATTTTATAACTTTCAGGTGCGTAACAGATGAAGAAGTTTATGTTGGACGGAGTTTTGAAAATGATGCTCCAACTCATTATGCTATTGGCTTTTTCAAAAACCGTCAGTTTTCAATTTTTTTAAGGAAATGTCAATTAAATATGCTCACAAAAATGATCACATTAAATCTTTTATTGACAGTTATAGCCTTAAAGGGTATTAAATATGAGAAGTTAAATGAGTTTTGAAATTAGTAGTTTACAGAGTGTTTATATCTGTGTCCGTTAAATGGAACTTTTGATATGAAGCGTTCGATATCGTATTTAAATAGTCGTGGGCAAAATCAAGGTGGAAAAACGTCAGATGGTATGATTTTATTATTTTGGATTACTTTATTTCGAGTTTCATTCATCTGTTACGTAGCTCAGGTTCTTGAATGTAAACACTATTTGAAACTGAAAAGCCTTATTTTAAAATTGTTTTAATTGGACTACAGATATTTCTTCAGTTATTAAAATCATTAAACATTACTTTTATATCATACGAGGGCATTTAGAACGAAAACATAGTGGATTTTTGTAAAATGACATAATCTTCCCTTACTAAAGTGCTGAATTTTATTTACAAAATGTCGTTAGCGTTAGAGGGACAATTTTGCAGATGATATTTCTGACTCGGGCGAAGAAATGGGATCTTCAAAACCTTCATCACCGATTCGGGTTCGTTATAAGCGTCCGGAAACGGAGCGCCAGAAAAAGCGTCGAGAACAGTCATCAGCTCACAGAAGTCTTCTAATTGAACAAGATCCCTGGATATCATTGAATATTAGTTGTGAAACGGTTCAGTTTTTTATAAATTTGGAATTTCTCTAAGTTGTTTCAATGAATGAATGGTTTGTTTTTTTCCCTTGCTGTAACGTAATCACTTTTTAAATTGCTATTTTCTTTATTTTTAACCATTTGTTGTTCATACTCCTCTACTTTCAAAACTTCAAACTCTATTATCTTTTTTTCAGAATTTTCAATCAATAAAGTTTAGCGAATCTTCATCATATACGCCTGTAACAGGACCTGAGTGCTCCGTGCTTGATCCGGAACAACTTGTTGAAGAAGCTATCATTCGCGAAAAAATGGATGCCTTGTCAGTTTAAAAAAATATTTTTTTGAAATTAAGTCTCTAATAAATTCTTATTTATAATTCTTGCACCAACTCTTGCTATCTTATTTAGAGATCTGAGCAACTGTAACCAGTTAATATCATTGCGACGGATACGACATTTACCTGAGGTTCAACAAGTTCGAGCACTGATCCTAAAAGGTAATATGACTTCTGACACTATTAATTAATTTTGTATAGCTTGCTGTGACTGGCTAATCTAGATCAAGGTTTCAGTGAGGTGGGATTTTTTCCAAAAATCATTATTTTTTACAGTTTTTTATCACTCGGAAAAAGTTTTTAGCACGATGTATTTCAACAAATGAAGCGCAGCGGTATGTTTCAAAGACTATCCCAAGACATTTGCTAATATCGCGCATGCGTGATTGTGCACACTTGGTGTGTAATATTTGGGTGTTGAAGACTGAATTTATTTATTCAGATGAAGGAACAGTCACGTTTCAATATGCACGAGATCTTGTTCTTTGTTTATTTAACTCGAATTTACCTGTTAGAAGGTAATTTCTGAAATATTTTCTAATTAAAAATATAGTATGCACTCAAAAGTTTGATTTTCATTGAAGATAGTTGATTATATCTTTTTGTGATATAATAAAATATATTTATTTGGTTAAGATTTACCATACCGTGATGCATAACTGTGTCATGTATATGCCATTACATTAAATATCGTTAAATCAGTAATATAATTTTTTTTCAATTTAGAAGGTACGCTTTTTCAAAAGGCATCAAGTTGGCTTAACTACAATAAGCACTGCCTAATTTCTAAAGCTAAGTTTCAAATTTGAATTTTGAAATTCAAGATTTCAGGTGTGATATAAAACACGCATTTGGATTGAGTGAGTTTGATATTCATTGCATCTTGAAAACATTAAATCGGGTAACGATAGATGAACAGAAAAGAAGCTGGAAACTGCTCTGTAATGATGTTGAATACTTTGGTAAAAGGTGGGCTTTCAAGATTTCTGTTGGTAAAAAATTTATATTTTTGTCTTCGCGCTCATGGCATGTAACACTATATTGTGATGCATAACTGTGTCATATATTTCATTACATTAAATATCGTTAAACCAGTGGTAATAGCTTCTTTTTTCAGTAAGGAGGATTTGAAAGTGTTGATCGAGGAGAAACGTTATTGGCATAAGCGTTGGGAAGAAATACATCAGTATTTAATGGCAAGGAAAGACGGATTAGGAAATTTGAAAAAGAAAAGTGCCGTTAGGTTGTTGTAGTGTTTCTTTCAGTAATTCCTGACACTTACACCATCTTACGTTGTTAATTAGTTAATTTATAGCTTACAAAAAAAATCTAATGCAAAGTGACTTTCACTGACGTAACGACTTGTCACAAAATTTAGCATTCTTCCTTCCTAATGGAAATGATCAGCCATGAATGAATCGCATTGATTTCATGAATTGATCGAAAACAATTTCAATTCAGGCAGAATATTTCGACGGGTCGAATGACAGGTCAAAAACTAAATGATAAAGCATCAATGGTTGTTATCGATTAGAAGAAATGCTTTCCTTGTTTCGATTAACTTCTTGCTTCATTTTTTCTCTATTAAACAAATTATTTTTGCATTATAAAATGTTTTACTACACTCTTTACTTAACATATGTAAGGAAATCGAAAAAAAATTTTAAACCATATTTATTACAACTTAATATGGTCTACACGAGACAAACTGGTTTTATAAAAAGGTAGTCATGCATGGCTCTGCCATTTTGTGTTTATAAATTTTTTTAAAACTTTCCAAGTGTTCCTTCCAGCCCCAGCTGCTGGAGCAGTGTTTTATAGCAGTGGGGATGGAATATTTTATTAAAACTACTGAGTTTAGTTTCATTAATTAAAAACAACTGCAACAAATTAACATCAATATCAGTCTGGATATCAACTAGACAATTTTTTTTCGAGTTTCATAGTTGCCAAAATATTTCCACTTGACAAACGTAAAATCATAAAATACCCATCTTGTTCTGCTTGAATATGACTCATAGTGCACAAACTGCTTTGTTCTCATTTTACGATCTCGAAATTTAAATAATTTTTAGTCAAGTCGTGTTTCAGTTAAGGTACGTGACTAACATTTTAAAGTTAGATGTGAAAAATTTTAATTGGTCAAAAAATAAGCCGACTTAATTTGTGATAATTAATTTTGTCACTTCTTAATGTAACTACGGGCTCCGATTATTCAGTACTTTTATTTTTCGAAACAAATGTAGTTTTATAATCTGAAATTGACCTGTGTCTATCTGAGTACATGGATAAATGCTATTTACAAGTGAAAATCACAACAATTGTAAATTCCAAACAAGCACAAAATGTAAATTATTCTAAGAACTGATAAGTAAGATGCTACACGCATGCAATACCACATTTTATGACTACTCTGATTCAGAAAAATTTTTCTTTAGATATTTTGGAAGTAAATCTTTGGTTTGCTAGAGATTGATTAAAATGATATTGTTTTAGGATCACTATAATTTGTTATACTCTTTAACATATCAAAATTCAAAAGAAATTCATATTATTCCTGTTTTTTACGTGCTCGTTATTATCAGACATGAATTTTCACTGCTTGATAATTCATCTATATCAGTTAATAATTTTTATAAGTTTTTGATTTAAAGCTGAATATAATTGACACTGCCCGTATTATTATCATATCTTAAAACAGTGGACACGATTAATATTTTGCGCAAAATAATTGGAAATAAAATTTTCAATGTGGCTTAATGCATGTAATTTTCCTTCCTTGCTAAGCTCCAAATTTTGGACAAATTTTTTTAGTTTCGGGATAAAATTGGTCCATGCGATGTTGAAACAATTTCATAGCAAAATTAAATTGTTCGAGAGAACGTCTCTGCTGTTTTTTCGCACGTGGAATATCAAGCGCTGTTTTAATTTTACGATGTGCCATAAATAAATCATTTACCAAAGCAAACGTGTAATTTTGACGGCACATTTCCCATCTCTGCAAAAATATCATTTTCTCGACTTTGAGTATTAAAATTTATTTGCATGAAAATAAAGAATTTTGCAAATCCTGTCATAAATTATCATGTGAACTTATCGAAATATGCAAATTTCAGTATTTGATTAATTCATATTTTGTTGATTTGTATTTTTAATGCAATTTTTTTCGTCAAAGTTCATATACAAAATAATACAGAATTTTTTCTTGATTAACTTGTTAGTTAAATTTATATTAAGTTGAAGTTGTGAATATATTTTAGCTTACAAGAACAGTATTATCACGTAACGAGAAGGGGAAATTTTCATCGTGAAATGGTATACTATTCAATGAAACGAATTGTGGCTCCCAACTGCGTTTTGAAAACCTGAAATTTATCAATTAACTCACAATAATTTTTGTAAAATTAAATTTTATATTTATCCATAAATATACACTTTACTGACAAAGCTCTTCAAAATCCACAAATTTACTTCAAAAATGAGTCAATTGCAAGTTGATGTTTGCTTTCTTGCTTATTCAACCACTGATTCAAATGTGGAATAGCGTGTGCATTTCCGTTATATCGTGCGTGAAATTCTACTGCCATTCCTTTGGAAAATAACTTACGTAAATCTGACTTATTTCGAGGCATTCTGAAAATATATAAACTAAATCTATAAGTAACTAGACACTTCAGTGATACATGACATGTTTCTTTTATTGCATCATTGAATGAATCAATTCAGCTAAGGAAAATTAATCATAAAACTCTACACAAGATTCAAATATGAAAATTATAATCAAATTAGCATAAATTATTATATTAAGTCTTAAGAGATTTTTGTAATTATAATTTGCGATGTGAAAATTTTTTGTAATAAAAGTAAATAAAGCTTGTTGAATAATACTTCCGTCAGAAAGTTAATGCTCAAATCATAAATAAAATGTTTTTGAGTAATTCATACGTTAATGCAAAGTAATTTTTATCGTTTCTTATTATTTTAAGTGATAAATTGCCAAAATATCATAAGTGTAAAATAGATAATATCATAATATATTATATAATTTGCTTTGAAAAACATGGATAACTTGGATAATTTACGATTTGGTGTTGTACCGCACTGATTATTTGAGCTAGTAATTGTAACACAAGGAAAACCAGTATGCTAAGAAAACTGTCAAATACTTTAACAGTTCAAAGCTTCAATACAAACTGATATTTTCTAGACAATGTGCTCGATTATCATTTCTACTTTTAATAAAAAATAAAAGGTTGCAAAAGTTGAACTACAGTACTCACTTTTTAATAGTCTCATTAATTTCAAATATCCTCACAACAAGAGCCATTTTTGGATTTCGCGCCAGTTGATCGCGTGCCAAAGCACTCATTCTAGACTCGAATCCGTGAGAAAAAACAAATTCAGAATCACTAATCAACACATATTTAGATCGCACCAACTGAAATATTCAACAATTAAGCTTCTTACTTTAAATATTTGAAAAAGTTCAAAAATAATTTTACCACTAAAATAAAAATTTTATACGTATTTATTTGAATGAATCAATAAATTCATTAATTGAAAATGAATATTTGTTATAATCAACATTCTTTTAATAAAACTG